CTCTGTTTGAGCAGGGGGCTGGACTAGAAGACCTCAAAGGTCCCTTCTAACTCTGTCATTATATCATTCTATAAGGGTCTCCTACTTAAGCACGGGGTTGGGCTAGAAGACCTCCAAGGTCCCTTCCAACTCTTTGATTCTATAAGGATCTCCTGCTTGAGCAGGGGATTGGAGTAGAAGATCTCCACGGTCCCTTCCAGGTCTGTCATTCTATCATTCTACAAGGGTCTCCTGCTTGAGCAGGGGGTTGGACTAGAAGACCTCCAAGGTCCAACTCTTATGATTCTATAAGGATCTCCTGTTTGAGTAGGGGTTGGACTAGAAGACCTCCATGGTCCCTTTTAACTCTGTCATTCTATCATTCTGTAAGGGTTTCCTGCTTGAGCATCGGTTGGACTAGAAGATCTCCATGATCTCTTCCAATTCTGTCAATCTATCATTCTGTCAGGGTCTCCTCTTGAGCAGGGGGTTGGAGTAGATCTCCACGGTCCCTTCCAACTCTTATGATTCTATAAGTTTCTCCTGTTTGAGCAGGGGGTTGGATTAGATGACCTCCAAGGTCCCTTCCAACTCTGTCATTCTATTATTCTGTAAGGGTCTCCTGCTTGAGCGGGGTGTTGGAGTAGAAGATCTCCACGGTCCCTTCCAACTATGATTCTATACGTTTCTCCTGTTTGAGCAGGGGATTGGATTTGATGACCTCCAAGGTACCTTCCAACTCTTGTCATTCTATAAGGGTCTCCTGCTTGAGCAGGGTGTTGGAGTAGAAGATCTCCACAGTCCCTTCCAACTCTTATGATTCTATAAGTTTCTCCTGTTTGAGCAGGGGGTTGGATTAGATGACCTCCAAGGTCCCTTCCAACTCTGTCATTCTATCATTCTGTAAGGGTCTCCTGCTTGAGCAGGGGATTGGAGTAAAAGACCTCCACCATCCCTTCCAACTCTATGATTCTATAAGGTTCTCCTGCTTGAGTAGGGGTTGGACTAGAAGACTTCCACGATCCCTTCCAACTCTGTCATTCTATCATTCTGTAAGGTCTCCTGCTTGAGCAGGGGGTTGGAGAAGATCTCCACAGTCCCTTCCAGGCCTGTTCTTTTCTAAGTCCCTTCTAGCCCTGATGAATATTCCCTAGCTGGGTCAGGAAACATCTTCAAGTAAACCACCCAACGCAGAGAGCAGGGAGGACCCTACACTTCAACCCTGAGCTATAACGACGCAGGGTAACAAGTGTGTAAAAAGGACTTTTTATGCGGTTCTGAGATGGCTGGGGAAGCACCCATTTCCCCCCCCCTTCCCCAAAGAAGGAATGAGAAGATTTGTAAGTGGGGGGGGGACAGTGCGAAAACTTTAAGCCGGTATTTCGGGGAGAGCCTCATGGGGCCCAACATGCAGATTCCCCCTCCAAAAAAAATAGACCAACGTGGATATTCACTCCTTATTTTGTTGTCTTATTTTGCACTCCTCTTGGGCTCTCCCTCCTGCTAATATTTGCAACAGCTGGAGAGCTCCTTAAACCCCAGTCAGATCATTTATCACTCCTAGGGCGTATCAATAATCATATCTGTGCCATTTTCATCTGTTTATTAATTAGTTACTAAATACCGGGATACGGGAATAATCGCTCTGTCATTCTATCATTGTGTAAGGGTCTCCTGCTTGAGCAGGGATTGGAGTAGAAGATCTCCACGATCCCTTCCAATCGCCGGAGCTTCCTTAGATGTTCCCAGTAAGAAAACAGGGAATATAAAGTGAGTGATCCACCCAATTTTAGTGCTGGGAGCGACTGTTTATGATAAGAGCTTGGCTGTTGGGTACCATATAAATATAATAAAAGGGGAGCAGAATTAAAGAATTACAGAATCACGGAGTTGGGAGGGACCCTGGAGGTCTTCTAGTCCAACCCCCTACTCAAGTAGGAGACCCTTGTAGAATGATAGAATGACAGAGTTGGAAGGGACCATGGAGATCCTCTAGTAGTGCAACCCCCTGCTCAAGCAGGAGACCCTTACAGAATTATAGAATGACAGAGTTGGAAGGGACCGTGGAGATCTTCTCCAACCCCCTGCTCAAGCAGGAGACCCTTACAGAATGATAGAATGACAGGGTTGGAGGGGGCCGTGGAGATCTTCTACTCCAACCCCCTGGAGAGGGAGAAGGAGGAGGAGGGAGGGAGGGGGGGCTTGGTGCTCTCTGAGCTGGGTGGTTTCCTTGTAGACATTTCATGACCCAACTAGGGAACATCATCAGTGCTAGGAGGGAATGGGGTTTGTG